CGAAAAAATAATCGACAAATTAATCGATTATCAAAATAATCATTAGTTGCAGCCCTAGTGACGATGCTCACACACCCTCACCTACTAAGGGCAATTTCAAGACACTAGTCCACCAAACGGCATGTTTTTGATCTGAATATGGAAAACTGAGCTGGGGGCAGAAATAAATGATATTAAGGATTAAAAATAAAAGTTTTACCAGGTGTCTCGTGACCACATTTGAAACACATCTGACATAAAAGCTCACAGTCATCGCTGAGAGGTGCTAAATGGCTCACGTCCGAGCTGGTCTGGCTGACTAATCTTTGAAGATATATCTCAACAAAGTAAATGAGTCATTTACCTGCTGAAGTTATTCATCTGAGTGGGGGAGACGCCTATTAATCAGCGGGCCGGCTTTTGCTGAATGCCACCCCCCAATAAAGGAGGCTAATCCTCTCCGTGGCTAATTGAACACGCTCGCCCGGCTTTCATGCCCATTCAGCCCTGAGTGCTTTTCACGCTGCCGCCTGCAAGGTGTGACTACTGACGCGACCTTCAAAGGAAGAGTGGCAGGCGTCGCTCTCGGGCGTCGAGCTGGAGAGGCGATCGATCCCACACGGAATGGGATGAAAGAGTGCACTCCTGCGTGGCGAGGACTGGGATGGGGAGCGATCGATGTAGTACATTGTTTTGTTTTTTTTGGGTTTTTTTTGACTGTGGCGCTAATGGGACAGGTCAGATGGTGGTCAGAGTGTACCTGTAGGACCTGTTGGACAGGCGATTCCAGAGAGTAAACCCATTGAGGAGATCCTAGCCAAAAAACTCACTATGTCCAAATTCAGGGGCTGCATCTTTCTAACTGCGCTTTTCCACTTCCATCAGGAACCCAGCAGTACCTGACCCATTTACTAGGAAGTAAAGCGTGCTGGGTGATCTGCGTCTATATGCACAGGTTATGTGAAGCGGAACGGGACATGTTCCATATGTTATATATTATTACTAGTATCATACATCGCGATGTGCATTTCAGATAAACTGGAACTTGTGAATTGACAACCTGCTTTAAGAAGCTCGACAGAAAGGCTGAACGAAATGGATTCATAATGTCATTGTTCGCAGGATAATACTAATTCAGCTACCAGTCAATGCTAACATAACATGGCGATTCTCACAAACGTGCTAGTGGAAATTAGCACATAAGAAATCATGATGTACACCGTGTGAACAGTAAACAAGAGTCTCTTCGGTTTTCCGTTACTGTCACTGTCCAACCTGGCCGTGCCTATACCAAGTCGACCCTTCTGCAGTGTAAAATCGAAGCAAGCTGGAAGCGTGCTGTAACAGGTATCTCTTCGCGGTCTGTACCCCAGTGGAAAAGTGCCATAAAGCTTCGAAGACTGAATGCGTCACAGCGATGTGACAAGGCTGTCCCATTTGGAAGACTCCTTCAAATGCGGTCTAGAAATGCATACTTCTTTTGCAGAATATCAAACAGGCTGCCTGCAGAGTTTTAAAAAGTATTAAAAGGTATTAAATCAAATTTAAGGCCATTAAAAGGTATAAAAATGTATTAAATGCAAATTTATGAAGTATTAAATTATAATTTTTTTTCAAAACATGAGTTGTCAATTTGTGTTTAAAAGTTCATCTGCTAAAGTTTGAGTAAGTTTATTTTAATGTGGGATTAGGCTCATTAATTCGAGTTAGTTGATGTCTATGATGCGGACGTCATATCCAATGGTCCTTCGATGTCTCAACCATTTTGCGTGCTGAACTGGATACGCTGGCTTGTGAAACTCCTCAATCGCTCAGACCACCAAACATATTGTCAACATGGGTGAATGCAAATTCTCAGACAACTGGCTAGAGGTCCAGATGTTTAAAGACTGGCTCAGGCCTGTAGTAGGCAATAAGCGGCAGGCTTACTGTTCGGTTTGTTAAAAAAACAAACAAATATCGCCTGGATGGGGTTTAACGTTCTTCGGTAACATACGCAATGCACTAGCCAAAAACCTGGAATGCGTGGACGCAGAGAGCAGTTATCAATTTCTACTTTTTGTGCTGATGCCACTGTTACATCAGTAGGCTCACAGAGACCCATGGTTTGTACTAGTCTGTACTGGTCTGTACCGATTGAAACTTGGCCCATACTGGTCGGAACCCATCTACATGAGTCATGATCTGTACCTTTCGTCGGAGGGGCCGGTAGCTTCCTCCTTAATTGTCTTGAAGAGCTTATGGTTTCTGGCTGCAGAGAAAACAGGATAAAAATTAGCTAGGGGCTAACAGAGGCCAGTAGGGGGAGCAGTCACACGAGTCGTACCTTTGGCTTGAACCTGGAGAAGCGGTCGCAGGGGACAACGTTCAAGCCGGCGTTCTTCAGGGCCGAGATCCTTGTCTCAATGTCAGTTACCTGGAAGAGATGGAGAAACAAAGTTGTTTCAGCATCTGGCAAGGCTTCAACTATAATATAGACAATAAATTATTTCTCAGCTGGACTAACTTCTATCATGTAGCTGGCTAACCACAAGCAGTGGCTAAATATAATGCTTTCTCTATAGCACTTGGTAGCATAATCAGTTAGCTTCAGTTAGCATGTAGTTGGCTACCTACAAGCAGTGGCTAAACATAATGCTTTCTCTATAGCACCTTTCAGCATAATCAGCTGGCTTCAGTTAGCATGTGGTTTGCTAACCATGGGCGGTGGTTAAAGATGACTCTTTCTGTCTAACTGTGGTTAGCATAATCCTTAGCCGCTGCTTGTGAGTAGCTACGCACGCACAGGGTCAGAGGTGAGGATACAGCTGGGCGTCAGCGGTCCAGACCCACCCGCATCTCTGACTGCTGCACCTGAGCGGCGGCACTGGCCACCTGCTCCTCCAGGTGGGCCAGCTCCCTCTCGGAGGTGGCGGTCTGGATGGCTCGGGCGCAGTCTTCCAGGCTTCCCAGCTCTCCCTCCAGCCCGTACACCGTGCCGGCTGCCAGGTACACCTGCAGGGTGCGGGATGCATGGCAGGCGTTACGGGGACCGCCGCGTTGTCATAGTGACCGTCTCCCCTTTATACGCTGAATGATCAGACATGCTTGGGGGACATCATGCTCTTTTACAAGTGAAAAAAACTATTTAAAAAAATGACTTGTCTACTTGAGGTACTTGACCACAGAAAAGGCGTGGGGTCAAATCAGGAGGGGCCCTCAAAAAAAATAAGGATGACGTAGGACACTGCAGTAAGCATCCAATGCATTACCTAGGCAACACATCTCCAGGGACGTGGGGGGTGGTCAGTGACTTACGTTCTCCTCCAGTTTGGCGAGGTGCTCGCCCAGCCATTGGGTGTCCGAGGTGGTGGGGGCGGGGCTGGGGGCGGGGCCTTCACCAGCCACTTCCTCAATCAGCTCCTCCGCGCTGTTCAGCACCTTCAGCACCTCCGTGGTAATGCTGGTCAGAGAGGCAGCTGAGTACTTCTGCCCCCGGGGAGAGTAGAAGAAAAAGCCAGGCTGTGAGGATCATCTGTGGGGGGTACAGCAGTGCTGGTCCCAGTAGGGGGACACAGCACTGGCGTTTAAACTGGTCTAAACTGATTTCTTAGAAACTTCGAGCTGTAAAATTAAAGACACATGGCTTTATTATCATCATCATCATCATCATTAATATATTTTATTTATATAGCAATTCTCAAAAACATTTTGAATTTATCCCTCCATGTGTGCTTTTAATGTGCTTCACACAAAGTCCATTGTGAGTCGATGGCATCTGATAGGATGAATAATAGGGGGCGGGGCTTTATGGAGGCGGGGCCACCTTGTGCCGGCTCCCGACACGTCACTGGCAGCTCAGGATTTTACACAGTCCTGCGTTCTGAGCTGCCGGGACATGAGATGTCGGACACCAGCACCACTTTTCGACAGAACAGGGCATGGTGACCATAGTGACCAGACTTCCTTCAAAGAAGAAAGAGGGCCCCTGTGTGCTTTCACGGCATGACTCACGCACTCACGCACTCGCGGCCGGGTCGAGTCCCACACCCCCCCTGCTAGGAAAGCGCTCGGCCTTTTAGCGAGAACTTTTCTGAAGCCGAGAATTCTTTAATCACACACCTCGTGCCCTGCCTTTATTTTGTCACATAAAACCCAAGGGGGGGGGGGGGGTGGCGGAGGGGGGGAAGAGAGCACAATAACCCTGAGATGTAATGAATTAATCAGCTGCCTCAGCTTTGATCCAGCAGGATAACAGGATGTAATGAGGCACTGATCCCCACCGCAAAAAAAAAAACTCACGACAGTGAAGAGGGGGTCAGGAGTGGAGCGGTGGATGGATGGCTGGGGGGGGGGGTAGTTGGTCGTTACTTTAAGAGCATCCCAGAGAAAATCTTTGAGGAGAAGAAGGAGAGGGAAGTCAACAGCCCGATAATCAGAGTGCCATGTGACTATGGCTCCAGCTGCAAGCCCCCCCAAAACCCCCCATGACCAACAGCGGGTCGAGACAATCATCACGCAAGACCCACGATGGCCCAAGCGATTTCCCCGGCCTTCTCCAGTTACGTTCCTGCTGCTGCCCGCTTCAGTGCTCCTTAAACAGGTACCCGATTTCTTCGCCATGCATGTTGTGTAAAAAAAAATGTAATCCTACAGTCTAAAAATATACTTTCCATGACACAAACAAGGTCATCTGGGAGATTTTCATCAACCGATTGCTGATGTGCATCTCAAGAGCATCATTAGATTTATTATTTCTATCCAGCCTTGTTTACACTCTGAGCTGCCTTTCTCTCTGTCAGACTGAAAAAAATAAACACATGCATATTACATTATGGAGTTGAATTAGCAGCAAACCAGGACCTGTTATAATAGACTCGCTCCTGCTGTAATAGACCCTGACCCACTATAACACACCGTGACCCGCTATAACACACCGTGACCCGCTATAACACACCCTGACCCACTTTAACACACCCTGACACGCTATAACACACCCTGACACACAATAGCAGACCCTCATAACAGCCTGTTGTCTACAATAATAGACCCTCACCTGCTAAAACAGACCCTGAATTGTTATAACAGACCCTCACTTGCTGTAACAGACACTCATCCTCTATTACAGACCTGGACCCGTTATATCAAACCCTCTCCTATTATAATAGACTCTCACTTGCTATAGCAGACCCTCACCTGCTATAACAGACTGCCACCTGATATAACAGACGCCCACTATAACAGACCCTCGCCCATTATAATAGTCTCTCACCTGGTATAATAGACCCTCACCCACTATAACAGACCCTCACCCATTATAACAGACCCTCGCCCATTATAACAGTCTCTCATCAGTTATAACAGACCCTCACCCACTACAACAGTCTCTCACCTGGTATAATAGACCCTCACCCACTATAACAGACCCTCACCCATTATAACAGACCGTCACCCATTATAACAGACCCTCGCCCATTATAACAGTCTCTCATCAGTTATAACAGACCCTCACCCACTACAACAGTCTCTCACCTGGTATAATAGACCCTCACCCACTATAACAGACCCTCACCCATTATAACAGACCCTCGCCCATTATAACAGTCTCTCATCAGTTATAACAGACCCTCACCCACTACAACAGTCTCTCACCTGGTATAACAGACCCTCACCCACTATAACAGACCCTCGCCCATTATAACAGTCTCTCACCTGGTATAACAGACCCTCACCCACTATAACAGACCCTCGCCCATTATAACAGTCTCTCACCTGGTATAACAGACCCTCACCCACTATAACAGACCCTCGCCCATTATAACAGTCTCTCACCTGGTATAATAGACCCTCACCCATTGTATCAGACTCTTACCCGCTGTAAAAGACTCTCCTGCTGTAACAGACTCTCACCTGCTGTAATACAGAGGAGAGGAAATGCAGCCTCTGTTGGAGGTCCAGGCTGTCCTGTCTTTCCTTGCAGCATAAGGGAAAGAGAAAGGGATACAAGAAGGGATGAAATAGCAGGGATACAGGAAGATAAGTGTAACATCAGAGAATGGGGTGAAATGGAGATACAAACAAGGAGAGATGGTAAGGGTGGGGGAAGCAGAAACATGCAGGGTTAGGAAGTCAGAGGACCAGAGACCAGGGTTACTATTGTTAACTTAGGCTATAAAGAAGTCTAAAATAGAGTAAGATGTGAAAATAAAATTGAATAAACTACAGCTAAATTAAAACTTTTAATACTGATTCTGAGACTAATAGTTTCTGAAACTAATAAAATGACAAGTATTTCCCTTAACTGTTTTTAAACGCTGTTTAGCTATAGAAATTATTTGTTCCTTGACGGAAATCATTTGAGGAAACATAATCCAAATTATTGCCTTTAGATGACCATTAATAAGACCTGGAATCTGTTTTGCCGATTTTGAGTACTTAATATGCACTGTGAGTTCAAGTACACATAGGACTGCCTAAAAAGCATAAAAACATAAAATAACTAATTTTGAGTCAATCCCTAAAAACAAAATTACTAAACCTTAGCCTGAAATTTAATTATATCAAAATTAAGTAGAAATGATTGATGTTTGCACTGGGGGCATGTAAAAAACTGAAATGCATCTTGAGTGCCTTATGTATCGATGCACTGATCTGATCCAAACATTTTTGTCCACCTGCATACTGTGCTTAATTTGTGCTGGGGCTTGCAGGATTCTGATTTGTCCTCTCCCATGTGGATGCAAATATCCATTTTACTGCGTGGTTTGGGCGAACTCATTAATATTCATAAGAAAAGCACTACCTGATTGGCCACTGAATACCTTGGACAGAGTTCACCAGCCAATCAGGTAGCTTCTCTCATGAATATAAATGAGCTTTCCTAAACTGTCCTCTAAAATAAATTTCACTGGCAGGACCTCTGCCAGTCTGTGTCCAGCCGCTTCAAATGCTATACCCAATACAATGAAACTTAAAATTAATTTGAGTTAAAGTTTGGAATAAATGCAAATAAAACAGTTCGTGTTGCATGATTTTTTTTTTTTTTAACATAAATCTGCCTAAATCAGTATGTTCCGCTTATCTTACATTTGGTTAGTAAGGGAAAACTGCACCACGTGCCTGCAGAAAAATCCACTTTTTTGGCCACTAAAATACACATGCCAGGTTGTAACAGCAACAAAGCCATCGGAACTCAAGCAGAGCAGAAATGAACCAGAACACCTGATGTTAGAACAAGTGGAGACAGGGAAGAGAGGAGCAGCGCTTGTAGATGCTAATGCTAATGAGAAGGAGCGCAAAAAGAGCAAGAAAAACGCCACAAAGATGAAAAGTTCGATGTAAGTTAAAGGCGTTGAAACAAAAATATTGCCTTGTTATGTATTTAAGTAATTAATAATGTATTATCGTTGCTAAAGACCAAGTTGTGTGTATGATATATCATCGTGGTCTTTATGAGTTCCGGTGTTCTGTCGAGTTGAGCTACTTTGTCGAGTTAGGCTACCGTAGTGCTAATCGAAACCAAACCCTAACCCCCCAAAAACCCCTAACCCAAACCCCTAAAACCTAACCCTAACCCCAAAACGGTGGAACTGCACATGCACAAAAAGGCTCGATAGTACGTCTCGATAGGTAGCTCAACTAATATGACAATAAAAACTGAATAATAATTAAAAAACTATAATAACAGCCACCGACGCAGTAGTTAGGACAGGAGAGGAGGTAAGAGATGCGTCACAATTGTAGAAGAAGAAATAAAGTCATGAATCGGGGAAGCTGCCTCTAGTGGCCGTCTGTCCTTGGAGGTCAGGTTACGTGTGAGTTCTGTTTCCTGCACACTTTCAGTTACGTGATCTTCAGCAAGTTACGAAATGGAGCCTGATAGAGCCAAACTTTCTCTGACATCAAATATGGCCCCAGATCCTTGGAAAGTCAGGAAATCTTTTTCAGCTGAAAGGGATCTTTTTTTTACCAGATGTGGAGATTTCAGGTCCAGAGAGTAGAAGTCCAGACCATGATTTTGTTTCAACCAACCAATTAGTATAAAGAGTCACAGTCACAGAGGACTCAACTGGTTGGTTGAAACTGTTTTTTTTGTAACAAAGACCTAAATCTGGCCCAAATATGCTTATTATCATTTGTTTGTTTGTTTATATAAATATTATTATTATTATTATTATTATTGAATTAATAAATTATTCAGAAGGGTGACTCTAAATATCCCTGTATTTGACTCAAAATTATCTGAGGGTAAAATCTTTTTCACATCTGAAAGTTATTTACTTTTCATATCAGACAAATGGAAGCAGTACTAAGCTCTTTTCTTATTTTTCTCTCTTTGCATATTATGAAAACCCTAAAAGTTCCTTCCTTATTCTGAGGAGAAAATCAAGGGCAGATCCATGGTGCTTTAACGCCCTCGGGAGGCCAAAGGGGCAATTTGGCCCTGCAGAAGTTTCTGGAAAAGCTGAATGGCATTCGTATATATTCAGTGACTCCATATCCTGAAGTGTAAAAATGACAGGAGTGGAAACTGCCCCTTTAAGCATCAACGTTCCACGTTAATGCTGAATCCTATCCAATCAACTCACCGTTAATTATTCACAAGACCATAAAGAATGATAAAACACAAACATTATATCACCACTTTGTTAGTGGTCTGTGTCCTCTTGATTTAAAATCAAGCTCAAGTCACACTTTACAGACAGACATGAGAAAGCTCATTAGTTATTACAGAATCATTATAGAACTATTATAGCATTACACACATATTACTATATAGTGTTGCCAAAAGGCATGACTTAAAACTCAGAAGCGTAATATAAAACATCATAAAACATAACAGAAATATAAAATATTTCTAAATATAAATATCAACACTTAAAACATAAAATATGTATTAAGCTACATAATTAGCATAGTGAGTAGATTAGATACTTTCCAATATAATAGCTGTCTTAAATCATATATATTTCTTATAAATATAAAAAAAAGGAAGTCATGTTGTTAGAATAATCATGTTATGACTGATTGAGTTACTGGGGAACACAAAGTGTAGTAAACAGCTCTTACTTTGAGGCTATCTTCTGCTGATGGTTGGTCCTCCGAACAGAAGGGGGCGCTCTCTTCTGGGGTTTTACTGTTTACAAGCTCTCCAGGTTCCTTCCCTGCCTTGCTGGCCCTTTCCACTGACCTCTTTTTCTCACTTGCTCCTTTCTCCCTTGATACTGAAATTGCCTCCTCATTCTGTCTTTCATCCACTTTCACAGCCACTCTCTCCTGTAGCCTGTCCTCTTTCCACTCTTCTACTTTCTCAGACTTCTCCTTGTGGTCCTGTCCCCCTTCATCACTTTTCTGTGACCTCCCCCCTGCTCTTGCATCCCGAGCCAGCAGGTCCTCCTCAGACGAGCTTGACTTCTTGTCTTCCCCACAGCTGACTGGAACACATGGCTTGCTCTTCCACTTCGTCTCTAGAGGCGCGCTGGGGGAGCCGGAAGTGATGTCGTGGCTTAGAGAGCTAGGGATTGTTGCCATAGCATCTGAGGTCACAGTGGTTGGTTGGCTGGCTGCAGTTGGACCATCCTGCCCAGTGCTCCGTCTGCACAGGATGCTGGGCAGGAAACCACTGCAGTCCTGTATGAAGTCAGAAGGAAGCCTGTCAGCCAGGGGAGCCTTCACAAGCTCAAGAGATGCCTACATCTCCTGCCACACTGCACTGAGGTGTTGGAATGGCATTTGTCCCAGACAGAAAGAGCAACCCCTACTGGTCATCAACACAATTACCAGTAGCACCTGGTTTTAACTACGGGCTCAGAACCAACACATAAACCAGGCCTGATACTGATTTGTCAAGTATTTTTACAAACCTTGTAAAGACAAAAAACAACCAGTATAACTGGGATCTAACCAGTAAGTACCTGGGCATTCACTGGTAGCTCGGCCTAGCTGCACCTGCGCCATGCCTGCTCCTTGACTTGGATCATGTGTTTGTAATTTGCCATTTGCCTCATTTGTATGTCACTTTGCTCAAAAGTGTCTGTTAAATGTGTTAAATGTGAAATGTAAAGTAAGTAAAGAATTTAGCTAGGTAGGTGATTAATTATATTTACATTTACTGGATCAATATTCCTACTCTCTAGAAGTGTCTGATTTAGGAGGGCAGCTTCCTTCATATCAATCCTTCGTACAGCAGCACACTTTCTCTTCCTGATCGCCTCACACAAAAATCCGGCCTGGACCCTTTAATGGAAGGGGGTGTTATTTTTAAAGCGGCGGGTTCATATTTCTGTTATCCCGTTCATAGGTAATGGCTTATATTTAGGTTTGGCTTCACTGCCCCCTAGTGATGACATTAAGTCATTGTTTAAGTCATATTTTACGCTCAAATGATGTCAGAGTAAATGTTAACCAAATAAATGTTACTTTAAAAACACAATGTAGAATATATATATACATATATATATATATATATATATATANTCAGTGACTCCATATCCTGAAGTGTAAAAATGACAGGAGTGGAAACTGCCCCTTTAAGCATCAACGTTCCACGTTAATGCTGAATCCTATCCAATCAACTCACCGTTAATTATTCACAAGACCATAAAGAATGATAAAACACAAACATTTACATTAGTTATCACCACTTTGTTAGTGGTCTGTGTCCTCTTGATTTAAAATCAAGCTCAAGTCACACTTTACAGACAGACATGAGAAAGCTCATTAGTTATTACAGAATCATTATAGAACTATTATAGCATTACACACATATTACTATATAGTGTTGCCAAAAGGCATGACTTAAAACTCAGAAGCGTAATATAAAACATCATAAAACATAACAGAAATATAAAATATTTCTAAATATAAATATCAACACTTAAAACATAAAATATGTATTAAGCTACATAATTAGCATAGTGAGTAGATTAGATACTTTCCAATATAATAGCTGTCTTAAATCATATATATTTCTTATAAATATAAAAAAAAGGAAGTCATGTTGTTAGAATAATCATGTTATGACTGATTGAGTTACTGGGGAACACAAAGTGTAGTAAACAGCTCTTACTTTGAGGCTATCTTCTGCTGATGGTTGGTCCTCCGAACAGAAGGGGGCGCTCTCTTCTGGGGTTTTACTGTTTACAAGCTCTCCAGGTTCCTTCCCTGCCTTGCTGGCCCTTTCCACTGACCTCTTTTTCTCACTTGCTCCTTTCTCCCTTGATACTGAAATTGCCTCCTCATTCTGTCTTTCATCCACTTTCACAGCCACTCTCTCCTGTAGCCTGTCCTCTTTCCACTCTTCTACTTTCTCAGACTTCTCCTTGTGGTCCTGTCCCCCTTCATCACTTTTCTGTGACCTCCCCCCTGCTCTTGCATCCCGAGCCAGCAGGTCCTCCTCAGACGAGCTTGACTTCTTGTCTTCCCCACAGCTGACTGGAACACATGGCTTGCTCTTCCACTTCGTCTCTAGAGGCGCGCTGGGGGAGCCGGAAGTGATGTCGTGGCTTAGAGAGCTAGGGATTGTTGCCATAGCATCTGAGGTCACAGTGGTTGGTTGGCTGGCTGCAGTTGGACCATCCTGCCCAGTGCTCCGTCTGCACAGGATGCTGGGCAGGAAACCACTGCAGTCCTGTAAGAAGACAGAAGGAAGCCTGTCAGCCAGGGGAGCCTTCACAAGCTCAAGAGATGCCTACATCTCCTGCCACACTGCACTGAGGTGTTGGAATGGCATTTGTCCCAGACAGAAAGAGCAACCCCTACTGGTCATCAACACAATTACCAGTAGCACCTGGTTTTAACTACGGGCTCAGAACCAACACATAAACCAGGCCTGATACTGATTTGTCAAGTATTTTTACAAACCTTGTAAAGACAAAAAACAACCAGTATAACTGGGATCTAACCAGTAAGTACCTGGGCATTCACTGGTAGCTCGGCCTAGCTGCACCTGCGCCATGCCTGCTCCTTGACTTGGATCATGTGTTTGTAATTTGCCATTTGCCTCATTTGTATGTCACTTTGCTCAAAAGTGTCTGTTAAATGTGTTAAATGTGAAATGTAAAGTAAGTAAAGAATTTAGCTAGGTAGGTGATTAATTATATTTACATTTACTGGATCAATATTCCTACTCTCTAGAAGTGTCTGATTTAGGAGGGCAGCTTCCTTCATATCAATCCTTCGTACAGCAGCGCACTTTCTCTTCCTGATCGCCTCACACAAAAATCCGGCCTGGACCCTTTAATGGAAGGGGGTGTTATTTTTAAAGCGGCGGGTTCATATTTCTGTTATCCCGTTCATAGGTAATGGCTTATATTTAGGTTTGGCTTCACTGCCCCCTAGTGATGACATTAAGTCATTGTTTAAGTCATATTTTACGCTCAAATGATGTCAGAGTAAATGTTAACCAAATAAATGTTACTTTAAAAACACAATGTAGAATATATATATACATATATATATATATATATATATATACATACACGCACGCACGCACGCACACTCTCTCTCTCCCTCACACACAACACACACACATATATATATATATATATATATATATATACATATATATACATTAATTACATATATAATGCAGTGGGGGTGTCTGTAATCATATCCATAGGATTGTCTGATTGATGTAATCATATTTACAGGACTGTCACTGGGGACATCAGTAATCATATTTACAGGACTGTCACTGGGGACGTCAGTAATCATATTTACAGGACTGTCACTGGGGACGTCAGTAATCATATCCACAGAACTGTCTGTGGGGGTGTCTGTAATCACATAGTGAGAACCGTCTGTGGGGGTTTCCAGAACCCAGCTCACCGAGGCAGTGGAGGAGTACTGTACTGGCGGGTTCCGGAAGGTTGGTTCGGTCGCTTCCCTCCTGCTCCTCTTGCGCCTACGTGCTTTCCTGACTGGGTCACCCTGCCTATCCTCCGCCTCACTGCTGTCCACGGGGCCCAGCCCACCTGCTGCCCGGGGGTTCAGGTTAACATCCAGGGCCCCCTGCTCTGGGTGGTGCTGAGGATCAGGGGGCTTCTTCTTCAGGTTCCCCAGCAGGGAAGCGCGGTGCCGGGATGGAGCTTCGTGGCCAGGAGGGGTGGAGGAGGTCTCGGAGTCTGAGTTCAGGGTCTCCGTGTTGGTGTAGCGACCGGATGAAGGGGAGGTGACAGGTGGACGCCGTGAGTAGGTCCATTCAGGGTCATGCTGCGAGTCTGTGTAATACGTCTCATCAGACAACCTGCGGCGGAACTCCTGCAGGGCGGTGACCCAATCCGCCTGGTCGTGGCCGGTCTCGCTGTCAGAGCCCATGTCGTCGTAGGCTGAGGCTACGCCGGACTCCTTCTCGAGAGCACTGAACACCAGGCTCTTGCGTTTGGTCAGTAAGCTAGGCCGACCCAGCTGGGAGTTCTGCAGGGCGATCCAGTTCCCATCCGGGCTCTGCAGCATGGAGGACGGGCCTGAACACACAACACACAGGAGATGTTGATGGGTGTCATTCATATGACAAAGAGAGAGGCACTTTACACTTTAAGATGACAGCATCCTCTGGAAAACACTCAACAATCAGTGTAAAGGACTGCAAAACTTAAATCAAAAGGGAGTGAGATGAAAAGAAAGTCAGAGCAAAAGGAAGTGAGACAAAAAAACCATAAGGAAATGAAGAACAAGTGGCCATAAGAAAGTGAGACCTAAAGAAAGTGAGGCCATAAGAAAGTGAGACCTAAAGAAAGTGAGGCCATAAGAAAGTGAGACCTAAAGAAAGTGAGGCCATAAGGAAGTGAGACCTAAAGAAAGTGAGGCCATGAGGA